AGGGGAGGCAGAGACCTGGGAAGACCAGAGACAAGGAGACGGGAGTGCATGCCACGAAGGCGTGGCAGGGAGGGGTGACCCAGGCGGTGGTGCCACAGAAGAGTCTGATGCGACAGGAGGCGATACGAGCAAGGGGGTGCTACCTGACCTGACGCGGACACCTGAGCAGATGCAGCTACCTGAGGAGGCTCGGTAGCCAGTGTGTACAGACTCGACCCTGGCCGACGAGTGAATGTGGCCAGGTGACGTCCCGTCCGTGTGCACGTGCAGATCGACACACACTGACCCCCAGGAGTGGTGGTAGTGACCATCGCATCCTGGAGGGCAGCGGTACTCACTAAGTTCGTAGAGAACGAGGGGAGGTGAAGACCTGACAGTGAGCCAGACGGAACCGCCGGACACGGGAGGACAGTGGAGGAACGGGCAACGACCGGGCCCTCCTCCAGAACCTCCACGCTGAGCTCCAGTCCTACCGCCACCACTGCCACCGCTGCGACTACCGCCACTCCCACCGCTGCCTCCACCGTTGCACCAATGCCCCCACTCCCTCCACCACTCCCACCGCTGCCACCACCTCCACTGCCTCCACCACCTCCAAGGCTTCCACCACCACCACCCCCGCTGCCACCGCCACCACTCCTGCCACCCTTGCCCTTGCCGCTGCGGCGCTTCGCACTAGCAGAAGCAGCTCTGACGTCCTCAGTACTAGGGACGTCTGCAGCAGCAGGAGAGGCGTAGGAGGGGGCAAGGGGGGAGGGGGAACACCCCTCAAAGAAGGGTGTGCGCGGAGTGCCACGAGCAGCACCTACAGCAACTGCACTAGTCTCAGCTGCGAGGAGGTTCTCCTCGAGTAGGTCAACAGTGAGGGAGGTGGGGTCAAGTGAGAGAAAGTGGTCCCTGACAGAGCGAAGAGAGTCAGGGAGGCGGGTGACTATGAAGTAGAGAGTGATGAACATCGGGGGCTGGTTCCTGTCAAGGAACTCAGCAGGGATGGTAGCGCGGTAGCGAGCGTCACTAGTGCGGAGGTGGGAAACAAGGTCCTCTACCGTGGCAAAGGCGGACAGCTCGGGGAACAGGTAGGGCAGAAGCAGGCGACCTAGAGCAGCAGTGGCAGGCGAGGAGTAGCGGGCGACTACAGCGTCGTACAGTGCCTGTGCTGTCCTGTGCTGCCAAAGTGAGCGCATTCGGCTAACGGCAGGTGGTTGCGAATGGCTAAGCGGGCAGCAGCGTCGCGAGTAAGCCACTGTGAGCGAGTCGCACTGTCAGCTGTGGCGGGAGGGGTAGTAGCAGCGCCTGACGTGAGGTCAAACAGCGAAACACTGTCCTTAGAATCGCTCAGTAGGTACAGCTGCAGGTCGTCGAGCCAGGTGTCAAACTGAATCGGTCTGCCCTCCTGATCGAACGCAAGAACTCGAAGCGAGGCCATAGCGATGCAGCATGCAGGAGCAGCTGAGAGGGGCGGCAGTAGTAGCAGCAGCAGCAGCAGCAGTAGCAGTAGCAGTAGCAGCAGTAGCACGCAAGAAGCGGCGTGCGGGGCCTGGGGTCGACGGGCCGGGGCCTATGGGCGACGGGTCGGGGGCCTAGCGGCGACAGGCCGAGGGGCCTGAAGTGACAGGCCGCGGGGCTAAGAGCGACGGGCCGGAGCCTAGGGGGGGATCGAGCCGAAGGGCCTAGGGGCGACTAGCGACGGGGCCTAGGGGCGTCGGGGCCGGGGCGCTCGGGCTAGGGTCGACGGGGCCAGGTGCGAGGGCTAGGGGCGACGGGGCCAGGCGCGCGGGCTAGGGTCGACGGGGCCAGGGCGCGCGGGCTAGGGTCGACGGGGCCGAGCGCGCGGGCTAGGGTCGACGGGGCCGGGACGCGCGGGCTAGGGTCGACGGGGCCGGGCGCACGGGCTAGGGGTCGTCGGGGCCGGGCGCGCGGGCTAGGGGTCGACGGGGCCGGGCGGGCGGGCTAGGGGTCGACGGGGCCGGGCGCGCAGGCTAGGGGTCGACGGGGCCGGGCGCGCGGGCTAGGGGTCGACGGGCCTGGGCGCGCGGGCTAGGGGTCGACAGGGCCGGGGCGCGCGGGCTAGGGGTCGACGGGGCCGGGCGCGCGGGCTAGGGGCAAGGGGCCGGGACGACGGGCCTAGGGGCGCTCTGGCTAGGGCCTACGGGCCGGGCTAGGAGCGACGGGCCTAGGGGCGACAGGCCAAGGGGCGACACGAGGGTCGCTAGGAGCAGTGCAGTGGTGGGCCCAAGGAAAAAAAAACGGTCCTAGCGGAGGACCTGCTCTGAAACCATGTCAAGAGAATGAACGAGAATGAATGAACTATGAAAGAGTTGGGTACAAGTACTAACCCTAATTGGGTTGTACCCCTTATGGGCTACCCCAGTATAGCCTACACAAATTAAGCAATATAACATTCTGACAGTGGCGCCCTCGTTCATCCCACGAGATCGATATCCCCAGTTGCTGTTGCTTCCGTAGGACCCCGGCCTCGGTCGGCGAAAGAAGTCGAGCTTCTCCGCCATGGCGAGAATTTCCTGGAAGTTGGTGACGCCTCGGAGCTGAATTTCTTGGGCGATATCATACTTCAGGCCGCCGATGTAGCGGTCGATGCGCTCGTTTTCGTGCATGTATCCCATTTGCTCACACAGCGCCAGGAACCCGCTAGTGTAGTCTTGGACGGAACCGATTTGGCGCCAAGTGCAGAGCTTCTGACGCGCCACGATCGAAGCCGCAATTGGCTCAAATCGAGCACGCAGACCTGCGCACCACGCGTCCCATGTGCGAAATTGGGGCACCTCTACAAAATACGACGGCGGCCAGGGTCCGGTTTGTCCTTCCCGTGTCGGCAGAGTCGCGTAGTCCATCGGCTTCGTGACGATGACGCGCCACCAGTCCATGGCGGGTCCTCGCATCAGCAACACGGCGCAGCGAATCTTCGCCGTATCCTCCGAGACGTAGTTGGCGTAAAAAAATACGTTCAACGTGAACAACCACGCATAAACGGTAGGACCACCTCGTTGACTCGGGTCAAAGCATGGCGGACGCTGCGGCTTCAGCGGCATCGGTGACGGCAGTGCCGAATCATTGGTCGATGCTGAAATCGTGACGCGAGGCTGGCTCCTGGCCGCATTCGTCGCTTCGAGGTGTGTCGTGCCGTGGTCGTCGTCTCCGTCATGGCGGACGACGCCATCACTGGCCGCGCTCGTGGGTTGCCCCACACTTCCGTGCTGCGATGCCTGTGGTGCAGGTTGTCCCGGAGTGCCATGTGCTTGTGATTGTGCTTGCTGTGCTCGTGCGACGTCATTTTGCAGGGACGTGCGTTCGGCCGTCAGTGCCGCGATTTCTTCGGAGCTTTCGTGGAGTTGTCGCAGCAGCTCGTTCAAACGGTCCTGCGTGAGCGTCGTGACGTCGATATGTTCAGCCATAACGAAGGGCGTCGGCTCAGCTTAGGGTACATTCCGCTCAGGACATGTCACAAAAGAAAGTGTCACAAACATTATTTGTGACTAATCGTGGTACTCCGAAAATAATGTTCGTGACTAATCGTGAAACACCGATAGCAAAATCGTGACAAATTGTGATGCTTCGAACCAAGAACAGTCACGATCGAGCCAGATGTCTTACCAGGAATGGTTGGAAACTTGCTATTCATTATTTTCGGTTTTACACAATTAGACACAAATATGATTTCGGATGTCACAATTAGTCACAAATATGTTTGTGACACTTTCTTTTGTGACATGTCCTGAGCGGAATGTAGCCTTAGGGTACATTCCTGTGGGGACACTTGTGTCTCAATCACTTTGTGACACCCAAAAACAGCATAAACTGTGTTGTTTCCCAAATGCGAATCGGCTTTCGGCGACTTGTACTGTATTTATTATTGGTCAGCGTGAAACGCGCTGACATCGCTGTCGAATTGTGAAACGACCCGTCATTGTTAAAGAATCGCACGCGACTCGAAATGCCCGACACGACCACATGCACCTGGACATCCGAAAATGCCAATTTTGCGAGGGAAAAGATCCCGCGCATCGAAACCACGCCCCTGCTCGGAGGTTGAAAATACGGGTGTACTGTCACCCAGTCAAATGCACACACCTGTACATCTCTTTTTGATCCCCGCCAGTGAAACGTGTCCAACTGAACCTGCCAATATGTCGCCCTACATCGCGGTACATTCGATGTTTGTGACACAACATTGGGAAAATTAACAGGCGCGACTCGGGAAAACGGGGATTGAGACACAAGTGTCCCCACAGGAATGTACCCTTAGTCTAGACGCAGTCGTGGCTGCACGCGTTTACGAGAGAACGCGAGGACAGCGGCTCCTAGGTGCTAAGGGGCGTGAGTCCCTTCGAGTGAAAAATCAAAAGTTGATTTCTTGGGGTGCGGAGATGCGCGGTCCGAAAGAAAGTGGATCTTATAACCAAGTGTTACGGGTGCAATGAATCGAGGTAGCGAGGATTGCTAAAGAGTGTTTAACGAGTACAAAATATGAGCGAATACTTATACGCGAAAATGTGCAAACGGTAACGCGGTGAGTGCGAGCTAGCTAGTGCTACGCTGGTGCGAGGTTCGAGCTAGTCCCGAAGCGTAGGCCAACTCGGCTGCTCCAGCAGTGCGAGGTTTGGTGAAACAGTGCGCGCGAAGTTGGCGAAGCCCCGTTAGCAGTAACGGGCGAACAACGGCTGCTGCTGTACGCTATGTGGACGGTCGCGGTAAGGAATAGCGAGAAAATTCCTTACAATAATACAGAATATCCTGATGTTACACAATGGTTTATTACTAGACTTTCATTGTTCCATCACAGCTTCAGTGAAAAAAGAAATCCGACTACAAGCATAGCAGCAATACAGGCCAAACAATAAGCTCTCATTTTAGGGAGAACACAAAAATAATAATGATTTCAAGGGGGCACCACTATGCATGTGCATGGGTGTGCACATATGTGTGGGTAAGCGTACTCGCTTCCATACAATCTAACGGCTGTGTGTGGTAGATGCAGTGAGTCAGTCGGAGTCCACGAGCTCCCAGCGGCAGTGTGAGAGGTCCAGCACGGCGATCTCCCCATCGTTGTACAGAAACTGACCAGCGCCGTGCCGGGGGAAGAGACGTGTGTGTGGGGGGGGGAGACGTGTGGCAGGGGAAATGTGTGTCGGGGAGAGAGAAGCGTGGTTGGGGGAGAGGCGTGTATGTGCCATGCACCACGCGTGAACGGGTGGGGATAGGGGCGCAGCCAGGGGGGGGGAGATACACACAGGGGAGGGGAAATGAGGAGGATATGGGAGAAACATCAGTGACAAGGAGGAGCATGGCAGTGGTGTGTGAAAAGCATGGCGATGGCATGACAGAGTGGCACACAGAGAGGAGCCTTGGACTTGATGATTTGGAAAGAATTGGCTTGCCATAGAGGGGGTTGGCATGACACAGGAAGGGGATGGCATGGCACGGGAAGGGAGGGTGGATGGCGTGGCATGGATGGGATGGCATGGATAGCAGGGTGCATGGGGCAGGCGCATGGGGCAGGCGCATGGGGCAGGCGCATGGGGCAGGCGCATGGGGCAGGCGCATGGGGCAGGCGCATGGGGCAGGCACATGGGGCAGGCGGATGGGGCAGGCGGATGGGGCAGGTTGGCACCTCGATGGTGAACTTGCTGTGCGCCACTGACACCACCGTGCCGTCGCGGAACCTGCTCATGTTATGCACGGGAGGATGGGAGGGGGGGGGGAGGGGTTGGGGATGGGGGGCAGGGCAGGTGATAGAGCACACAGGATACAGGTGGGGAGACGTGGAAGGGCAAGAGAAGAGCAGAGAAGAGGTGCTGAGGTGAAACCTGTGTGACCATGGATGGTTGTATGTGGCGTGACCCAGCACCCATCTGACCCACGCTTCCCTCCTTTGCCTGCCGATCACTCTCTCTCACCTCCGCACTCCTTCTCCACCCCAAACTCTCAACAACCCCCCACCCACCCCTCCAAGTAACCCCACGCTTCCCTGATCCCCCCTGCGCCTCCCTGCGCCCACCTGTGGAGTTGCGGCGTCCAAATCCTGATCTGCTCGCCCTGCAGGTCGCGCACTGCACGGTGGGTCAATGGCTGGGGGGGGGGGGGAGGGGATGGGGGAAGGGGAGACATGCAATCGGGGATGGGGAAGAGGGGAGAGAAGAGGCGGGAACGGGGACGGGGGAGAATAGAGGGGCGAGAGGGTGCGTGAGTGCATGCAGGGAGTGTGAGACCTCGTGGGGTGGTGTTGTTCCCCGATGCATGGTGAGGCAGGGGCTGGGAGGGGCCGGGGGGACGCGAGAGAGGAGGGGAGGGCGGGAAGGGCGAAGGAGTAGGAGCAATCTAGGATACCTCACTGATACTGCACGTCAAGATCGCTGCACGTCCCGGTCACTGCACACTGCACACCACACACTGCACACCACACACTGCACACCACACACTGCACACCACACACTGCACACCACACACTGCACACCACACACTGCACACCACACACTGCACACCACACACTGCACACCACACACTGCACACCACACACTGCACACCACACACTGCACACCACACCCCACCCCGCACGCCACACACCGCACAGCTTCCACTCCGTACCTCGGATCGCCAGGAGAAGGGCAACGAGTAGCAGGCAGTGGGTGGCACCGTTTGTCTCTCAAAGCGCCACCGCTCCGCACGCAGTGACACATGCTCCACGTCACCATCGTCATATGCTACCTGGCAGAGAAGAGGGAGAGAAGGAGGGAGGGAGTGGGAAAGGGAGGGAGAGAAAGAAAGGGAGGGGGAGAGAGGGAGAGGGAGGTAGATGGAGGGAAGGGGAGGAAGAGAGAATTTCGAGTGTTAGCCTGGCGTTAAAAAATGTTGGGGGCAACAGAGAGAAAGAAAGAGAGTGGAATTTGTGAAGATGAGGGGGTGTGGTGCATGCATCAACGAGGGTGGCCCTGAGTGGTGGCTTGCAAAATTAACAGAGAACAGCAAATGGAGGCAAGACCAAGTGTAGGAACAGGGCTGTTGGGCGTGTTGGGACCACTGCGAGAACACTGGCACATGGCACGTGGGTGGCATATGGCACGTGGATGGCACATGGCGCGTGGATGGCACATGGCGCGTGGATGGCACATGGCACGTGGATGGCACATGGCATGTGGATGGCATATGGCACGTGGGTGGCACATGGCAGGTGGCACATGGCAGGTGGCACGCACCCTGTGCTTGCGAGTGGAAGCATCGTAGCCACCAATGACCCCCTTGAAGAACCTGCCAGGGAGGGCGGGACACGAGGGAGGGAGCATTAGCAGGAGAGGAAGGGGAACAGTGGAAGCATCGTAGCCGCCAGTGACCCCCTTGAAGAACCTGCCAGGGAGGGCGGGACACGAGGGAGGGAGCATTAGCAGGAGAGGAAGGGGAACAGTGGAAGCATCGTAGCCGCCAGTGACCCCCTTGAAGAACCTGCTGGAGAGGGCGGGACACGAGGAATACACATGATTAGAAGAGGAATAGAACAGTGGCACAAGATCACAAGAGGTGGAACAGCAGGAGGTTTGGGAGCAAGGGAAGCAGCGATGCTGTTTGGGAGGCACCACAAGAGACGATTGTACACACAGGAGAGCACAGGAGAGGAGGAGAGGAGGTGGGTGACATGATGCGTGGCTGAAGAGGCAGCTGTGTGGCTTCAGACAAAAAAACAGGTCAACTACATTGTCGTATTCCCTTCCCATCCGCACCACTTCTGACAGTGCTCCAATGCCCGACTCTTCCCCCCATTTCCATGCTGCCCCATCCCCACACCACCTCCTTCCCTGCACCAACCCCACATCACTGCTCCCCTCCCACACAAACGCCACTCCCCTGCTCAACTCCCATCCACCCGCCCCCCCTTCACGCACCTCTGTTCCAGCGGCCACCACACTTCCACCCGCCGCCCCACCAGCGCCTGCTGCCGAGCCAGTGCCTCCTGCTCCGCTCGGCTCAGCCCCGAACCTGGCCGCTGCGCCGAACCAAACAGCTTCGGCGCATCGGCGAGGCTCGGCAGGGGCGCACCATCTGCAAGCCTCTTGCCCTTGCCTGTAGCAGCACGTGCAGCTCCGCCCGACCCCACACCCCGCTTCACCCCCCTGTCTCTTCCTCCCGAACCCTCCCCTGCTCCCTCCCCCTCCCCCTCGCCCTCCGCCTCCCCTCCAGCGCCCTCCCCTGCGCCTCTCCCCGTGCTGCTTCCCCCCTGCACGCCTCTGCCTGCTCTGCCTGGTGGGTGAGCCTCCAGCTGCCACTGCTCGCGCCCCAGCACCACGTGCTCCTCGTCCCCATCATCGTACCGCACCTGGGGAAGGGGGGGCGGAGGGAGAGAGGGGAGAAGAAGGAGGAAAAGGGGAGGAGGTCCTTGAATGACTTGTGGCCTCCTGCCGCCACTGCTCGCGCCCCAGCACCACGTGCTCCTCGTCCCCATCATGGTACCGCACCTGCGAGCAAGGGGGGAGAGGAGGGTAATGGTGGGGAAGGGGAGGGGAAGAAGGGGAAGGGCGAGGGGGATGTTCCAAAGTGTGTGCGCAACGGTGAAGGGGAGGAAGAGGGGAAGGAAAAGGGCACGTGGGGGAGAGGAGGAAGAGGAGTGGGGATGGGGGTGAGGGGAGAGAGGACTGGTTGTTTGCGGAATACGAGGAGCGAGCAACCTGGCATGTCCATATGCGCAGACTCACCTGCTGCCGTTCATACACATCACTTTTGCGTCGCGGCAGAAGTGTTTCTCATGCAGTTGCCTTCAGACTCACCTGCTCACATGGTGCTGCTCACATGGTGCTGCTCACATGGTGCTGCTCACATGGTGCTGCTCACATGGTGCTGCTCACATGGTGCTGCTCACGTGGTGATTCTCACATGCACGGTGGTGGCGCAACTCACATGGTGCTTCATGGTGGGGGGGTCGAAGCCCATGACAGTGCCTGCAAAGAACCTGCGAGGGGGGAGACAGGGGGGGGGAAGGGGGCATGAGCAGCAGGAGGGAGCGCAACAGGGGGCATTGGTGGGAGAGAGGTGCATTGCAGGGGGAAGTGAGACACAGGAGGCGAGAGAGGCAAGAGGCAAGTCGCAAGGAAGCAATTCACCAAAACCTATCCTCACCACACCGCCTCTGTTACCCGCCCACCCACCCGCCTCACTCTCCCGCCTCTATCGCTCCTCAGTCCCCCATCCCCCCTCCACCCCCCTTCCCCCCCCTCCCCTTCTTCCTCCCCCCCCCCACCTCTGTTCCAGCGGCCACCAGAGCTGCACGCGCTGCCCCACCAGCGCCTGGCTCAGCCGCTCCAGCATGGCATCCCGCACCCCCTCCGCCTCCGCGCCCCCTCGCCCCCCGCCCCCGCCCCACCACGCGCCCCCGCTCCTCCGCCCCCTCCCCCGCCCTCCTCTCCCTCCCCTCCCGCCCCCCTTCATGGCAGCACCACCCCCCCCTGTCTCCACGTCACTGCTCCCTCCTATGGTCACGCCTTCCCTTCCTGATGTCCCCACACTCACCCTCCCTCCTCTCCCACCTCTCCCTCCTCCCCCTCCTTTCCCTCCTCGCCCTCCCCGCCCTCCCCTCGCCACGCGAGTCATTGCGGCTGCAACCACTCTAGCTGCTGCGAGCCTGCTGCTGCCACTGCCCCCTCGTCCCGGCCCTGCTGCTGCGCTACTGCCTGCCATGCCCCCGCTCCTGCCCTGCCCACCCGCGGCAGCACCACTGGCGGCACCAGAAGCAGCAGCAGCAGCAGATGCAATGCCAAGCCCCTTGCCCTTGGTGTCACCAGTGGCAGCATTCTCTCTCCCATCGCTGCCTTTGCTCCCTCTTCCATCTCGTCTCCCTCCTCTCCCTCCCTTCCCTCCTCTCCCTCCTCTACCCCTTCTCACTCCTCCCCCTCTCCCTCTCTCTCCTTTCCCTTCCCTTCCTTCAAACCCTCCCTCCTTCCCCTCTCTCTTCCCCTCCTCTCCCCCCAAGCGTCCTCCATCCCCTTTCCTCTCCTGCTGACGTGTCACATCAGTGCAACCAGCAGTGTCCACGTGTGCACCCACTGCCAGCGCGCCATTGCCAGTGGCGGACCCCCTTTCAGGCACATCATCTGGAGTCACACCCCTCATTGCCGCCACTCCCTCTCCACACACCTGTGCTGCTGCTACTGGGCATGCCATGCCATGTGCGCACATGTGTACTGGCCCCACATGGTGGGGGCAGCAGAGGTCAGTGGGCATGGCAGCAGCAGCATGCATGTGACACGGCACTTGCGCATGGGCATGGGTGTGATGATGCATGCATGTTGCAGGGTAAGCGAGACCACATGCTGTTGGGATGTGCACACACGGATGTACATGCGTGTGCACATGAGTGTGGGCATGGGCATGGGCAGGTGCATGGGCATGGTTATGGGCCTTTGCAGGGATGCAGGAGGTGGTGCGAGCATGAGTATGCATCTCATTGCATGCATCATCTGGCGATGAGGGGCCACGAGGGGCAGGTGGGAGGAGAGAGAGAGCCTGCTTCTGCCACCCGCTCCTTGGCACCGTCTGCCCTGCTCCCTCCACCGCACCCATGCGCCACAGGTGCTCATGCGCTATCACCACAGGACTCCTCGCCCCTGCACTTGCATGCACGCCACCTGCATGCACGCCTGCTGTGCCATCCACGCCTCTGCACGTACATGCTGCACAGAAACTCTCTCCCACTCGGCCCCCTGTGGCGTCAGACCCCTCCCCCCCATTCCGCTTCCTCCGTCGATACTCCCTTCCATAACGCATGAGGCCCCCTTTCGCCACCTCCTCCCCCACTCCCTTCACCTCTTCCCACTCTCTCTTCACCCCTCCTTCACCCCTCTCGCCCTCACCAGCACACACCCTCACACCTGCCAGTGGCTCCTCTCCCACTGCCTCCTTCTTTACAGTCACATCCATTTTTAGCCTCTTGCGTGAGTACACCCTCTCTACAGGCTGCCCCCCCATTCTCTGCCCCAATTGACCCCCCCCTACTTCCGCCTGTCTGCTCCCACTATATCCCACTGCTCCTCTTCCCACGGCAGCAGCTGCTGCAACAGCAGAATCAGGGGCGGCACTAGCAACAGCCAGACAGGGCCCAGTAGGTACTCTGAAGCCACCACCACCACCAGCAACCGCAGCAGCAGCAAAGAGGTGACAGTGGGTGGCAGGACAGCAAGAGACCCACTCCCTGCCCATCCCCACGCCCACGCCCACGCCCACGTCCTCCTCCTGCCCACCAGTGCACCCACCCACTGCCATGGCATCACGGCCCCCAGCCGCAGCCACTGACGTCACACACGATCCCTCCTGTGCCCTCATGCCACCTCCCTCCCCCTCGCCGCCCTCAGCCCCAGCAGCAGTGCTGCCGCCAGCAGCAGCGGCAGCAGTGCTGCCACGTGCATCACTGCGCATGCCCCCTCGCCCTCCCCGTGCCTGGCGCCTGCGCCTGGCGCCCTGCAGCAGGGGCACCGGGGTCCACCCTGGCCCCGGAATAAGCCGCCTGCTCCCATGAGGCCCTTTCGTGGATACCTCTTCCGCACGCTCATGCTCATCTTCCTCCTCCACTTCTTCCTCCTCCTCCTCTTCCTCATCCGCCTCTAGAGCCAGGCCCTTAGCCCTGGCATGAGAAGCATCAGCCATGTCTCGGTCAATGTCAAGCGCACCACCAGCGCCCACCAGAGTGTGCCCGTCCGCATGCAGCTCAGACAAATGCCGCCTCTTTGGCTGCTTCACCCACCCTCTCCCCCTCCCTCTCCCTCTCCCTCTCCCTCTCCCTCTCCCGCTGCCGCTGCCTCTGCTGCTCCCGCCTGCACCTCTCCCCAAGGCATTCGCCACTGCTGCACCTCCTGCAGAAACACCCCTGCCTCTCCCCATCTTGCCCCCACCCCTCTCTCCGCACTCTCTTCCTCCTACCTCCCACCTGCCTCTCCCTCTTCCCCTCCCGCTTCCTCTCCCCACTCCCACTGCTCCTTGCTGCCCCATACTACCTCCTCTTCCCCTTCCTCTTCCCCTCACCCCGCCCCTGCCCGCCCCGCTGCCCCCTGTTACGATTCCCCCACACACATCCACCACAGTCTTCCCCCTCCCTTCCCCCTTACCTCCGTCCCCTTTTCCCCCTCTGCCTCCGCGCTTCCCCTTTCCCTGCGCAGCGCCAGGGGGAAAGGTCCCCCCTGCATGCGGGGGGGTGGCAGATGTGGGGACGGTGGCAGGCGGAAGGGGGGGAGCGGGGAGGGCGGGGGAGGGGAAGGGGAGGGGGAGGGTGAAGGGGGAGATGGTGCGGGTGGCGAGGAGGCCGCGGCAGTTGGGCTCCCCGCAGTGGCACTCCTTGGGCTGTAGCTCGAACCCTATGAACCTGCATGGGCACAGCAAGGGGGGGGTGCGCATAGGGGGGTAGAGGGGGCAGAGGAGATGGTGATTGCAGTCACGAGAGCGACTGTTGCTGGTCTGACGCATTATGAGAGTGTGTGCGCGCAGCTAGTGTGTGAATGCAAAATATTGTGTGTTTAGAGAGCAGGGAGGAACAAATGCAGTCAGCGCAGTGGAGAAGAGAGAGAAAGAGCATCAAGGCCATGCCACCAGCACAGGAGAAGCGAAGCATCGCCCTAAGCTCACGACTAGCTGAGGGATTCGGCATTGTAGGGAGACTCACTGGTAGTCGTATGTGAGGAACTGCCCCTTGCTGACTGCGCGCAGCGTGCACACGCCTATGCGCACCTCCCCGTCCATCTGCCTGCTCGTGCACCACAATAGCAGCAGCAGCAGCAACAGAAGCAGAGAGAGAGAAACGGGCAAAAGAACATGCAGGATGAAAGTTCATGAGAGAGCACCAAGGATCAGCTGGACTCGGAGCGCAGGTGGGATCAGCAGTTGGGGCCAGCAGTTGGGGTCAGCAGTTACTCATAAGTTGCTCATCAGTTGTGGTGGTGCGGTGAGCAGGCAAGTGTGGCGAAGGGGCGACCCACTCACCACTTCTGCAGCTCGCAGTTGGGGTTGCAGGAGTGGTTGATGAAGCGCGAGAGGTTGCCTTTGTAGCGCGCGTCTATGATCATGTCACTGCTCACCTGCACACAGCATTAGCACGGGGCGCAGGGGACAGGGCGCAGGGCAAGCGGCGTATGGGAGAGGGCGCAGGGAGCAGTGGGAGGGACAGCAGGATGAAGCGAAACGACCTCGAGGGGCGAGATAGCATGGAAACAATGGGGATAGCAGTGCTTCGTGCTTGATTGAAGAGGCAATGAGGTGAAACGCATGGAATCGCAGTGAAGCACACAGCAGTGGGTGGCAGGGGTGGCAGGGGTGGCAGGGGTGGCAGGGATGGCAGGAGTGGCAGGGGTGGCAGGGGCGGCAGGGATGGCAGGAGTGGCAGGGGCGGCAGGAGTGGCAGGGGCGGCAAGGGCGGCAGGGGCGGCAGGGGGCGGCAGGGGTAAACCTCGCAGAGGTAGAAGTCGGTTTCCCCAGCGGCCTTCATGTCCCACAGGCGCTGCTCGCACGTGGCGTCGTCTATCACTGCTCACCGTTCCGCACAACATGGGGCAGGGGGGAGGAGGGGGGGTGCATAGGTATGGGAAGGAGGTGCATGGGTACAGGGGAAAGGGTGCATGGATACATGGGGGTGGGTGCACGAACAGGCCCAGGGGAAGGGGTGAGCAGTGCAGGAATGCAAGGGAAAGGGGTGAGGGGTTCACATTTGAGCTGCCAGTCAGTGACGGATGCATCCATGTGAGTGACAATACATGGCTTGCCCACAATACATGGCTTGCCCACACTCTCACCTTGCCCACACTCTCACCTTGCCCACACTCTCACCTTGCCCACACTCTCACCTTGCCCACACTCTCACCTTGCCCCACACTCTCACCTTGCCCCACACTCTCACCTTGCCCCACACTCTCACCTTGCCCCACACTCTAACCTTGCCCACACTCTCACCTTGCCCCACATACTCCATCACGTAGCATCCGGCAGGGAGGTCCTCGTTGGCCTTGAGGCCCCACCCGCACTTATCCGTCTGCGCACAGGGGGGGTGCGGGATGTGAGCAGCGGACACGCATGGGGATAAGGGGGGATTTGCTTGATACGAAAACGGGAAAAGCAGGATATATGAAGGGGAAACGCGGGGATAAGCGGGAATAATGCGGGGGAGAAGAAGGGACGGTGAGCTGGGGGCAGGGGGGTGTGTGTGAGCAGAGAGGAGATGGACAGCCATGGGGCAAGCAGCGGCGGAGTGGGCTAAGCGGAGCAGCGAGCAGAGACGGTTCGGGGTGCGGTGTGCTGAGACGGTTGAGGGGAGGCGGGGGGCCAGCGCGACGCACCCTGCAGAGCTTGACTTTGCGTGAGGGGCGGCGGTGAAAGGGCGCGTTCTGACACGACGACCCGCACCCGCAGTGCTTGCTGCAACTCACGTGCAACATGCTGGTGGGGAGGGGGGGCGGAGAGTGGAGCAGGGAGGAGGAGGGGGTGAGGGGGTGGGGGGGGAGGAAGGTTGGAGAAGGAGCAGGGAGAGACGGAAAGTGTAGATAATGAGAGTGGAAGAGGATGTGTGCAGGGAGCGGGGAGAGTAGAGAGCTGATGGTGCAGAGGGAGGAGAGAGGCACGCGCCATGAAAGGAGGTGCAGGATTGGCAATGGTCACACACCGGCAGAGGCATGTCTCGCCACAGATGGACATATTCCTCCTCCGTCTCCTCCCTGTCTTGGTCTTCCGCTTCGCCTGCGCTTTTGCCTTTCCCTTGGCCGCCCTTTCTTGCTGGCTCATCTTCACCGCGCCCCCCTTCCTTTTGCTTCCCTGCCACTCCCCATCCTCCTCATCCTCCGCCTCCTCCGCCTCCTCCTCTTCCTCCGATTCTAAATCCTCCTCCTCCTCCCCCTCCTCCTCCTCCTCCTCCTCGCTCTCCTCTGCTGCCTCTCCCCTTTCCAAATCATCATCCGAGCTCCCATCATCACTCCCTTCCTCTTCCCCCTCATCCTCATCCTCCTCCTCCTCTTCCTCCGCCACCACCAGTCGCTTCCACCCCCGGCCCGTGATGCTCTCCCGCGCGCGCCCCCCCGCGCCCTTGTGGCATTCGCACTGCACCGACTCCGCGGCCGACGGCTTGGCGGGCCGCTTCACCAGATACTCGTCTGCGCGCCGGGGGGAAGGGGGTTGGGGGGGAGGGTGGCGGGGAGGGTGGCGGGGAGGATGGTGGAGCGAGAGGGTGAATTTGGGAAGACATTGCGGAAGGCATGTGCAATGCACGAGCAAGGTTGGGATGAGCGGAGGGAGAGGGAGGGAAAGGGTTGGCGCATGTGCGGGAAGGATCGCCGCGGCTGCGGCTGACTGACGCTCGCAGCGCCCCCCTGCTGCTGGCCGTCCAGCCGAGTCGCGAATCCCGTTAAGCCAAAGCACCGCTTTCATGTTCACACAGTTAATCTAGGCAGAAGGCGGCTTCCAGTCAAACAAAGGACCTCGTAACCCCTACACGAATTCATCGCGCAAAGCGGAAAGGAAACGATGGCGAAATTAGGTCAGTACGTGGGTTTCAGAACTTGTCACTACACAAATCCCCAGCCTATAAGTGGGGTTCACTCAATCGCCCTATTCCATTCAATCAAAAGGCGAGACATGGCGGGGGAAGAATGGAGGCATGGTCCGGCACAGCAGGAGGTTTCCAGACAACAAAAGATATGAGTGGCCAGCCGAGCCAGACTCGCGTGCCGACAGGACGCAGCCTCGCCACCCATGCCTCTCTCATGAACCCATAGGTGATCCAGTGCCCGATGCCTTCTATTCTGAACTCGCGAATCGGCAAGGAGAACAACCACGGAATGTCGCGAAGGTACACCCTCCTCGACTGCTCACTGGACTGCATTGAACGGATTCAACGAACCTAAACAATTTCAGCGACTGCAGGAGCATGGCCTGCATTGTGGATCGAACGCACCTACCGGGAACTAGAGGCTTACTTCGTCGGATGGGTACGTAATCCGGAAGCGGAAATCCGGACCCTTGCTGTGGCACGATCGCATCATCCCGCGCCATGACACGCCGCGACGGGCGATCGAAAGTGTCCCGTTGTTATTGCCAGCTAATTACCCGACCACTCGCTCTGACCACCTCCTTTCCTAGCACATCACACGCGAAGCAACGTATGTGACGTCCACCAGATGCAATGGTTGCTGGTCCTGACGGCATACTGATCAGGTGAGATTGCATCTCACTGTTTTAGCACAAGGGGTTTGGTCAAGCAGGCAGGCAGGCGAGGTGAGTGAGCGAGTGAGCGCGCAGCGAAGCACCTGGAAGAAATGGTGGAACACTGCTCACGCTGGTGCAGGAAAACCTGCACCGCAGAGAGTGGCTTGTCAGCGATTGGATAACTGTCCAGGGAGAACAGAAAATCAGCAGTCTATTCCCGCCAGAACGCGAATATCCAGTAATAGCCACTTCAAAGCAGATTCAACTTTGATTAGCTCAGTAAATTCCTGCTACCATAGGAACAATACCGAAATTTGTACAAAAAACATTTGTATCTGGAGTGCTTCTGATCAACAGGCCTTTTCACAATATGTATTTACCAAGCACGTGCAGAAAACTCAATCAAACTAAATGGATACCCCAGCAAGAGCGTGCATTGCGATTGGGTTTCGCCAGGCTCACATCCCAAGTGGACTTCGTTTCAGAGCTTTCCCCCTCCCACCATTTGCACCCACTCCAGTGCGAGCATTTCCTTCCTTCTCCAACCCGCCTGCCTCTTTCAGCCTGTCCTCTCCTCCACCACCCCTACCATTGCCCATGCTGCACTTCACACCCTCCCTCTTCCTTGCTGGGCTGGTGCCTTGCAAACAGCAGCGGGGGGAGCAGGGGCCAACTGGGGATGAGGGATGCGAGATTTGCACGGCAACAGTGGGGGAGAGGACCAGAGGGGAGTGGAGCGGGGACAGCGAATCCGGCAGGAAAGAAAAGGTGGGGCTGCAGCGGGGGATGCAAGGGGGGAATGAAGTGCGGCAGGAGTGCAGATGTGGGGAAGTGGCGGTGCAGCGGGGAGAAGAAGGGCTTCTGAGCCCCATGCTGTGCGCAGCTTCCCCTGCAAGCAGCTGCTTTTGCGTGGGGCTGAGGCCCGGTGACAGCACTCTGAGGCCTGGGGATCTGCGTGCACGTGGAGGCTTCCTGAAGAGGCGAGAGGAGGCGCGTGGGGAGGGGATCTGGAGGGAGAGAGAGAGATGCAGGTGCACAGAGTCACATGGCTTGAGGAGGGACGGGGCTCTGCTCCGAAGAGGAGACTGCCACTGAGCGGCCTGAGAGGATTGTGAGGGCTGTGCGGGCTGTGCAGAGGAAGAGCGATCATGCGCCTTCCGGCTGTCTGGAGAAATTACATTGTCGTCTGTTTTCTCGCCCTTGTTGCATTCACTCCCTGCCGTTGTACCACTTGGTTCTTCATCATCACTTGCTTTTCGTTCACTCTCCTCCTCATTCTCTCTCACATCCCCAGTCTTCATGTCGTGTTCCTGCTGTGGGGTTTCAGTGCCTGGCACACCTTGCTGGCAACCTCTGTTGGCGCTGCTCTCCTTGGTTATGGCCTCTGCACGCTGTGGAACAGATTTCACAAGAAGCTGCTGATCCTCTTGCTCCGTCTGCTGCTGCTGTTGCTGCTGTAGCTGCTGTCGTTGCTGCTGCTGCTGCAGCTGTTGTTGTTGCTGCTGCTGTTGCTGTTGCTGTTGCTGCTGCTGGTGCTGCATGTACAAGTGCTGCTGCTGTAACATAGACCAGTTGATCCCCCCATTGCCTGGGACAGGAAGCGATCCAGGGAATAGACCCAATGGGTGTGCCACACCACTGAAAGACGTGCTACTGGCGCACTTGCTGCTGGCTGCGCTGCTGCTTCTGGTGTTGGTGGAGGAGGAAGGGAAGAAGCCATGGGAGAGAGCGAAACCAGGCATCCACACAGCCTCATGCCAGAAGAATGGAGGCGATAGACGCGGGTATGCGTCCATGGAATAAGACGGCTGTTGCTGATTGGTTGGTATATGTCGTACTGCTTGCTGGTGGGGCACCGAGGGCATGGCTGATAAGGAGCTATAATCAGAGGAGGGGCGTTGCAGGTGCAAGGAAGATGGCATGCTGCCACTCCCTGGGAACTTGCTGCAGTCACCCGTCGACTGGCAATCAGCTCTGCCTGCTGCACCCTCCGCCAAGCTGCTCCACTTGGATGGCTGAAAATCGTGACTGGGGGCCTTGGATGGGTCGATGGACATGGCCTGCATGGCCTGCAAGCATTCCTCTACAGCGTCCCCACCGGCATCACCATTCATGCTGTCTGCTACACCCGCATCCCCACTGCCGTTAACTCCCATGTCACCCCTCGTTCCGTTGCCTGCAGGCCATCTGCTTGTGGGCCAGGAATGAGCTGCCACTAGATTCTCCTGGGAAACGGCTGGGAACGGTGCAGGCACATGCGATGCTTGAATGGTGCAACCAGCAGGCGGTGTGGAGGTCATGGGTGGCAGCGCAGGCATCGGAAGCTGAAGCGACATGGGCATGGGCATAGTGGGAATAGACCTCATAGATCCCATGGATCCCATGGGCCCCATGTGCCATGGGCCCACCATATCACGTCTCATGGGCCAGAAGCCGTGACTGCTTCCTGGCATCCCTGCTGCACTCGCAGCGCTCGCAGCACTAGCAGCCTGAGCCACGGCCGCAGCCACAGCCCCTATGGGAGCGCTGCGGAGCGGTGAGGAGGGGTGATGACAGAGCGCCCAGGCAGCGGCATCCATGGTGGTTGGAAGCCTGTGAGAGTAAGCACGGGTGGGGGAGTGCTTCGGCGTGTACACTGCTGGCTGGTGCTGCTGGTGCTGCTGCTGATGCTGAGTATGGTGCTGGTTGCTGTCTCTTGCAAAGAACCGAGGGCCATGAGCTCCCTGTCGCACTCCTCGGCCATGCTGTTGTTCCCAAACTGATCCTCCCATGCTTGCCTCGTGTCCATGATTCGCGTGGCTTTGCCCTGGCGACCGGATCCTCGAGTTGGATACTAGAAGCAGCGTCCGCGACTTTCGGCCTTTCTTCTTCCTGCGACGCCTCTTTTTCTCCTCTGCAGAGTGTGGCGAGCTCGTCAAGGACCCCTCTTCCCACCGCTCGTCTTTCCGCAGCAGCCGTAACTCGCCATTTGCACGGTCGCTCAAGAAGCATCCGCCGTCTTGAGTGTCGCAGTGAGGGTCGCCATCTTGATCGGACGACGGACTCTCGCCCTCTTCGTACTGGGTTGACGGATCTGGCGATTCCACAATTGTTTTCGAGATTCGCACCTCGGAATAAGGAATCGAATTCAAACCCTCGTGATCCACGGTGAGGTCCTCGGAGACTATGCACAGGCTGTCTTGATTGACGAAATCCGCTGCTTGCAGTCCTGGACGCCTTTTCAGAAGCGAAACAACAGTCTCAGCGTCATTGCAACGCATGTCAAGCAGCGAATAGAGAAGTTTGTCAACTTCATGATCGGGTTTGTTTTCTTCGTCAGGAGGAACTGACTGGATGGGACGAAGTGCTGGCTCGTCGGTCAGCGTGAAGCAGGAAGTGTTGGTCAAGACCTGCGGACTCGAACTCGATCGCGAGGGAGTTACAGCTTGATCCATGTGAATAAAGTAAGAAGAGGGTCTGAAAAAATCGCAATGAAACGGCGCTTTGTCCGTCTGGGATGCATTGGCCGAGCTAATGAGCTTATATGCGAGCAGGGTGAAGGAGCCATGGCTGTGGTGTGAACATTCAACAGAAAGGCTTGTCAGCTGAAATGCGAGTCCCTGTGACCTCTTGGGAATGCAGAGGATGGCGAAATGCGACGGACGACGAATTGCGATGCGGAAATTGGTCGTCCTCGAGTGAGAATTCAGCACGTGGCAAGTACATCGAGCTTGGATTCTCAACAGCAGTTTCGCGTGGTTTGGCGAGCTGTCCTCGGATTTTCGCCCACCTGGTTCACCACCAAAAGCTTCTTCGCAACACGAAAAACATTGCGAGTTGAACGACGTTGGCGAAACATGAAAGTTGGGTGGAAGAAATGTGAAGCGGTTCAAGCGATAAACGGATCAGTGGAAAGTTCTGTCCCCAAAAGTCGAACAACTCCACTAGATTTTGAATGCCAGCTCCATTTCGTGACCTCGTTTGTCATTTCCACAAACGAGGTGACTCGGATTGGAAGGTGACTCGCATAACAATGAAGGTGAGTTAGGTCTGGGACTCTATCGATATCTAGCTGTCCGTGATAGTAATTTAACTCGATGCGGCCTTATTTCAGTCTGACATGGAGATGGCCGAACGCGATAATCATGAGGAACTTGGGCGAAAGCCCATTCTCCAGCATGATCCTGGCCATGACGAGAACGGCGGCTTACACACAATGGTCGAAGGCGCTGTTCGACTGGTCACAATGCTTAATTTCATGAAGGTTTGTGGCTGAGGATCTTTGGCTGTGGAGCATTAAAAACCACTTTCCGTTTCAGTTTTCAACCAAAAGACGGCCTACAGGTTGAGCTTGGCGAGTACAAGTCCCTCAAGTCCAAAGAACAATGGCGTTCCATTGGCGTCGAGTTTCTCGCCACCCTTCTGTTTGTCTACCTGGGATGTGGTTCTGTCGTGGCATCAGGTGAATGTTTCTTCACACTTGTGTAGGATGTATTGCAAGCTTCATGTCAACCAAGGCGGCTTGTATTCTCAGGGGTCCTCGAAACGGAGTTGACATCTGCAAGACTCACTGTGATCGCTCTGGCTCATGGATTGGCTATTACCTTTCTCGTGGCAAGCACCGGTGCAATCTCTGGAGGCCACATCAACCCAGTAGTTACCCTTGCCTTCGTAGTTGCTGGAAAAGAGAACATCATACGGGGATCTCTATACATCGCTGCTCAGGTACAAGTTCATAGAGAGTCTCAAGATCACGAGCAACCACGTCATTCGTAACTCACATATTTTGCTCGTCTGCAGCTGGTTGGGGGAATCTGCGGAGCTGCCCTGTTGGGGGCTTCAATCCCTGCAGCAGACCTGGGTCACCTGGGCACCCATAGCCTTGGCCACGGAACATCTGTGGGCAATGCCTTTCTGATGGAACTGATGCTAACCTTCACTCTGGTGTATGTTATCTTTGGTGTTGCTGTGGACCGACGAGGACCAGGTAACCATTTATATTCTGAGATGATGCCCTCTGCTACGGTAAACCTGACATCTGCTTGCTTTGGTGAACAGGCGTTATTGCACCGATACCAATTGGACTTGTGGTTGTAGTAGATCACTTGGTAGGAATCCCATTTACAGGGGCATCCATGAATCCTGCAAGAAGCTTTGGGCCAGCTGTTGTATCAGGGATTTGGCCACAAGAACACTGGGTATACTGGGTGGCACCGAGCCTGGGATCAGCACTAGCAGCTGTCATTTACAGGTATACTGCTGCTGTTTACACGTTTAGTAGCAAGAGTAGTAACTACTGGTAACCTATCATCAAATGCAGGTACATAATAATGGGTACAACTTACAAACCGCCAGAAGCAGCGGCAATGATTACGCCTGGACCTGGAAGGAAGTCCATGTCAGCTGCAATCTGATGGCATTATTGTGATACGGTACGGTGCAATATTTTTGCGACGATGCGCTGTGGAGTTCAAGATACCCTGAAACATTGAGGGATACCATATTCAACAGGAAAAAAAGTAGTTGACTATTTAAGGTTAAAATGTGGGTGTAGAGAATGCAACTGTTTTTTGGAACCATTGCACACAAAGTCAGCCAGGTCCAGAAAAAAAAATCCATAAGGGGAAACCAATCAAAAGGGACTGGGCAGGAATACAAGCAGCATGTATACGAGTGGGCGAAGATGCAAGAGCAATCAGGATGCCAATTGCTCCAAGCATCTGGCCATCTAACAGAGGCTTTGCCATGTATCACCTCAAATTCGACAGACTCGGCATAGCAACGCTGCATTGTCAATGCTATTCAGCAGATGAATCGAGTTCTTACCTCCATCGAGCTTTACTGCTTCTTTGGGGACTTCTTCTTTGCCTCTATTTGCCGTTTCTGCAACAAACGGACATGCACTCGAAAGTAACCAGAAAAGCAATAATGTTCAGGCACACCTATTAAAAAGCAACCAGAAAAGCAATAATGTTCAGGCACACCTCGTGCATACCTTCATTTGCTCGAGCAACTCGGGCATCTTGGCCATGTTCTCTGCAATCTTCTCTTGCCTGCATGTTAAGGCATGTAGGGGAAGGAGTGAGCCCAGACTAGGCAACAAAGATGACCAAGCACAAAAAAACTCTGCATTCTTGGAGCAATCTGGAGCCCGTAAGTGGGCTAAAATTGTTTAACAATCAAGCCTAGTGAATTGCAGACTAACCTCACTGCTGCCTCCTTATCGTGCTTGTGACCCTTTATCTTGGTCTTCATCTCCTTCCGAGGAGCGTCATAAGGCCATTCCCTGCCACGCGCAGACAAAATGTGCAGGCACACATTTCTCCCCTCCACTCCCCCCCCCCCCAACACATGCAGACAGACATACCATAATAATCGGCACGCACTCTCAAGCCCCTCTTTCCACACCTCTCCAACCGGAAAATACACATACCACAAAACCCATCCCACAAGAAGGACACACACACATGCACGCATCTCACACCATCACACGAACACAGACGAGATGGGACTCGAGCAATCAGAGAATGACGAAGCAGCAGGAAGTGGCGAATCTCAGAGAATTCTGCCTTGATATCTCTAGAAAGCGCGATGTTATCTCGAAGACCAAAGCAGAACGGAAGCGAGAACAATGGCGTCCATTCATTTAGGAGCGAACCAACATAACAGCTGCTCCCACTGCGGCAGATACGAGTGACGCTAACTCATAATCGACGACCATAGGCCAATCAAAGCTCAAACGGTTTCTGATCTGTTGTACTTATGCTCCTAACCGAGACAGCCTAAAAGAACTCACTCGCCAGCCAGTAAAGTCTCTCGTCGCAACCGTGCGCGGTTCTTCGCGGAAATTGCAGCACCACGCCACTTCCCATTAACGAATGACGGTCGTAGTCGCTGAGCTAACTCAGCAACGGCCTTCACTACTTGTTGGCCGGCTCCTGAGGACGCCATTGCTGCTTCTGCTTCTTGAAAAGATCCTCCCTGAGGCGGGAAATGAAAGCGTGAGGGGATGGAAATGGGAGCGGGAGGGCAGAGGCATGGCAGCAGGACCCGAAGGGGACGGCAGCGTGAACGGAAGGGGACGGAAGCTTGAACGGAAGGGGACGGAAGCGTGAACGGAAGGGGACGGAAGCGTGAGCGGCAAAGCAAGGAATGAGAAATGAACGGAAAGGAAGAGAAGGGGTGGACTGGGAAAGCAAGGGAAGGGACAGCAAGGGATAGGAAGGGTAGGGAGGGCAAAGTGTCTCTCCCAGGAAGGGAAGAGACGGGAATGGTCGGGGCGTATTAGTGAGAATGGAAATGGATTCGCGGTTTGAGGGAATGGGGATCGCAGGGTCTGCCAAAAGAGAATCGCGGTGTGAGGAAAAATGATTTGTGGCGTGAGAAAAGGGAATTGTGGCGTGTGGAAAGGGGAATCGTGGCGCCACTAGAGCGGCAAGAGCAAACCCTAATCGCGGTCATAAACGATGGAATGTATGAGGTAAGGACCTCGCGGCGTGGAAAGAACGCACTTGATGGCGTATCCGAGGCGTTCGCAGGGGCATCAATGTCGCTGCTATAGGCGACGACTACGTACGTCCTCTCCTTCCCTTTCCTGGATCATGCAATTTTACGTGATGATGGGGCTTTGCTCCTTGCAGAGAGTTGACTGAATAAGTACACCTAGTCTAGGCTTACTTAGACAAGAAATCCCGCGATGGAGGATGTGACATGTCGCATTGGGTTTTGTGCGACTGCTTGGTTGGGGGTGTTGAGGTCGCATTCGAACTGGGGAACTTTGGCGAGCTTGCTCTGGGACGCGAACCTCGTCAAACATTATCGACAATACCTATGTTCGCGGGCCAATCGCATTTTCTTCCGGTGGCCCGCGGATTTTTTTATACAGAATTCTCCCCATTGTGCCGAATCTAAGGGTGGGGTGCATCAAGGTTTTTTGGCATGATCGCCCCTGATCGGGATGCTAGTGCTGTAATCGTAGGGTTTCGGGTTGGGTCGGGCTTCTCGGGGGACCCTTCGATCCAACGGCACCCCTTCTTGATGCACCACCTGCAGTCCCGAAACCCAACGAGATCCGGTCAAGGGATCGCATCTACAGTGAGCGTTCGTAGTTGATTTGGTAATCACCTCGTTTTGCACTCGCCGCTGTTTCGCTTCGTCATTGGGCGACAAAATATTATCGCCAACAAGGTTCGGTGTGCACGCGGTGCACCTATAACGATTGCACCTATGTGAGTCCTCAACCACTCGATTCCCGCCACACCCATTTCCCCTTCACTTTCCGCGCCCGCAAATTCTTCCCCATCGTTCTGCTCCCCAACTGCTTTGCTCCGCACCGCAGTCTCCTAATGCCTTTGCACAACCACAGTCCAACAACCACATCCATCCATTCTGCTCGACCTCAACCATCGTCCTGGCACTAGGAGCTTGAAATATTCTTCCGTCTGTGCCTCGCGATACAGTTTATCTTGAACGGGTTGACGAGGTCGCAGTACAGTTTACAAATTCACGATTGTTACGCGGTGGGTGTGCGGTTTATACACGTTTAGTACACAGCCGGTGCGCGGTGGACGGGAATGACGTTTCAGGTATTCGTTCGAGGTCTAGATGGCGCCACCACGCTGCTCCACACCGATAGAGCCGTGATTTCCGGCGCTGACCTCAAGACCGCGTTGCGAAGTCGCCGTGCGCTTCCACCGCTTTTGAGCGACAGATGCGACTGCAGTTGCGACGCGTGCGATGGATGCGACGGATGCGACTCGTTCCGCGTCGTCACCGGGACGCGGGAGATCTCTGACACGTCGCTCCTCTCGGCTGACGCGGCAGGACTCTTCCCTTCGTGCCACGTCATCGCGAGGGTTCTCGGAGGAAAGGGTGGCTTTGGGTCGCTGCTGCGCGGCGCCGCCACCAAAGCCGGGCAGAAAAAGACGAGCAATTTCGACGCGTGTCGCGATATGAGTGGCCGTCGTCTCCGCCACGTCAACGCCGAGCGTAAACTGAAGGATTGGCGGCACGAGGCGCGGGAACGCCAGCTGGAAAAGACGGCGCAGGACTATTTGAAGCGACTCGCGAAGGAGAAGAAAAAGCGGCGCGAGGAGGTTGTGGATTTGGGCGCGGTGCGCAAGGCCAGCCACGCCGCCATGGCGAGAGTCGCTGATGCGGTGAAGAGCGGTATGGAGCGGCACGGTCTGGATAAGGGGAAGCGGAAGCTGAGCGCGGAGGAGGAGGGAGAGGAGGAGGCGGAGCGGGCGCAGCATGCGAAGCGCGGAAAACTACTGTACGTTTCTTGATTGGGGGAATATGGCGGGGAGGGGAGGAATTCGGAGGGGAATGGGGGATGGGGGGTTGGAAGGGTGTTTACAAGGGAAAAAGAGGCGGGAGGGAGGGGGGGAGGGGGGGAGGGGTGGGAATGGAAGTATATGGGGCTGAGTTGGAACTCTACCCCTGCTAACCCCGCTCTCCTCTTCCGTGTGCCTTGGTGGTATGTCCGTTGCGTACTCCTGTGCGTGCATGTGTGTTGTTCCATGCGCTCTCACATGCCCGTGCGTGTAACTCAATTTTCCACGTGTTCGTGTTCGTGTCCCTGCCCCTGCCCTGTCCCTGTCCCTGCCCCTGCCCTGTCCCTGTCCCTGCCCCTGTATTGCAGAGGCATGCTGGAGGATATTGAGGAGGGGGAGGACGACGAGGAGGAGGACGAGGAGGAAGGGCAAGAGGAGGATGAGGAAGAAGAGGAGGAGGAAGAGGAGGAAGAGGAGGAAGAGGAGGAGGAAGAGGAGGAGGAAGACGAGCAGCATGAGGAGGGAGAGGAGGGCACAGAAAAGGGAGGGGAGGAGGGGAGTGGGAGTGGTTCGAAGGAGGGGAGCGAGGGGAGTGGAGGTGCAGGCAGTGCGGGCAGTGCGGGCAAGGCAGTGGCACCGCTGCACTCGTCTTCGTCTGACGAGGAGCGCGATGAAGCATGCCATGCAAGTCGCTCACCTGCCGCCCACTCCTCGGCACTCCGCCATCACGAGCCGCAGGCACAGCCGCAGCAGGTGCAGCAGCCGCAGCAGCAGGAGTCCCAAGAACACCAGCAACAGCAGCCGCCGCCACCGCCGCCGCAGACACAGCAGTCAGCAGCAGCAGCGGTAGCAGCAGGCGAGGGTCCCATCGACCTCTCTCTCTTCCACTCTGCTGCTGAGCTGGAGGTGAGTGCTGGGCCCACCTGTGTGTTCCACTCGTGCTTCTGCCTTACCATGCCATACCTGCATCACCCTTTCCCAGCCCCTCAACTCCCCTCCCCATCCCCATGCACTACCCCACCCGTATCCCTCCCTCTCTTCACGCGATCATGCTCACCCTCCTGCCTCTCACCTCCCTCCCTCCCCCACCCCTCCTCCCTTTTTGCCTATGTGTGGCCCCACCCCTCCTCCCTTTTTGTCTATGTGTGCCCCCACCCCTCCTCCCTTTTTGCCTATGTGTGGCCCCACCCCTGTTCCCTTCCTGTGTGTGCACTGCCTTGTGCCAGCCCCTAGGTTTGGAGCGACTAAAGAGGGAGCTGCAGCAGAGGGGGCTCAAATGCGGTGGCACCTTGAACGAGCGAGCAGCGCGGCTCTTCCTGCTCGCCAGCACGCCTCTGGACCAGCTAGACCCCAAGCACCTGGCTGGGGGGGCCGCTGGTGGTGGTAAAGGCCGCAAGGGCAAAGGCAAGCTGTGACTGAGCGAGCGGGCAGCACGGCTCTTCCTGCTCGCCAGCACGCCTCTGGACCAGTTGGATCCCAAACACCTGGCTGGAGGGGTTGCAGGTGGCAAGGGGCGCAAAGGGAAGGGCAGGCAGTGACTGAGCGAGCGGGCAGCACGGCTCTTCCTGCTCGCCGGCACGCCTCTGGATCAGCTAGATCCCAAGCACCTGGCTAGGGGGGTTGCAGGTGGCAAGGGGCGCAAAGGGAAGGGCAGGCAGTGACTGGGAGAGAGGGCAGTGCGGCTGTTCCTACTCGTCAGCACGCCTTTGGACCAGTTAGACCCCAAGTACCTGCCTGGGGGGGCTGCTGCTGCTGCTGCTGCTGCTGGCAAGGGGCGCAAGGGCAAGGGCAAGGGCAAGCCGTGACTGGGTGGTGATGGGTGGTGGATGGATGGGCAGACAGACGGAGGGATTAGCCGAGTGCCCTGCTGTGTTGTGAGAGCGGGGAAGGTGGTTGTTGCTTGCTGTAGATAGCTCCCCGCCCCTGACAGTGCCTGCCAGGCAGGTGTGCCTTCGATTGTTGCTTCTGATTGCGGCACCACTGTGAATAGCCTCAGCTGGTTGCCTGCGTTGCTGTTAACCTGCAGTGCGTATGGCTTGTGCTAGGGTTTCTCCTGTTCCGTTTTTACACTGCACAGCTTCCAGAACTAAGGTTATGAATTCGATTTGCAATACATTCTCTATATTCTAATCCAAAAAGTAAAAAACTACCATGGTTTCATGTCCTGCTCTGTACTGTCCTTAGCTACAATACATGTAGTGCACTGCATTGCAATACTGTACTTTAGAATACTGTGCCACTAAGGCGGCACGGCAAAAACCCCACTCATGCTGACTGGGAGGGAGGGTGGACTGCAGGCGTGCCCCACACACTAAGGAGAGGCTCGGATGCTTTTCAGGTTTGGATGCGTGTGCTAGCGCTGCACGCGAGTTGATCGGGTACTCTGCGGGGGCGTTGGGGATTTGAGGGGGGAATGGAGAAGCAGGGTTGGAGTGGATGCTGCTGTTGCATGCATCACAGCAAGCCACACAACACAACCCATGGCACATGGCACATGAGTCATGACACATGGCACATGGCACATGGCACATAGCACGCATGGTACATGGCACACATAGCCACATAGCACATGGCACATGGCACACTGCACATACCACATGAGCCATGGCAGCTGACCTTCTTGCAGTACCTGGCTTGGGTCTTGATGGCGAGATGTGCACAGTGTGCGGGGGAAAGTCCGGGGGGATCGGTTGCATGCACAGCAAGTCACACCACCCACGGCACACAGCACATACGGTATCACATAGCCGCTCACCTTCTTGCAGCACTTGGCTCGGATCTTGATGGCGAGGTGTGTGGGGAAGGGATTCTGGCAACATCTCATCAGTTGCATGCACTGCACAGCGATTCACACAAGCCATGGCATATCCCATGATCCATGGCCGCTGACCTTCTTGCAGTACTTGGCTCGAATCTTGATGGCGAGGTGCACACATGATGCCACATCCAGCACCAGCTCCACATCGTTGAACATCTGAGGAGGGGGAGAGGAGGGTAGGATAGAGAAGGAAACGGCCAGACGCAGTGGTAAGGGGACGGTGGAGAGTGGATGCACACACGATGCCACATCCAAGACCAGCTTCACATTGTGAACATCTATGGAGGAGAGAGGGGGAGTGGGGGTTGTGGGGAGATGGGGAGAAGACGAGGGGGGAGCAGGGGGAAGTAGAGAGGAGGAAAACGCCCAGAAGCATTGATACGCGGAGAGTGGAGTGTGGATGCACACACGATGCCACATCCAACACCAGCTCCACATCGTTGAACATCTGTGGATGGGGGAAGGGGAGTGGGGGTTAGAGGAGAGGGAAAGGAAGGGGAGGGGTGCACGGAGGGTAGGAGTGCTAATGGGCATGAAAAGCAGAGAGCAGGAGAGATATATAAGTTGGATAAGGGAGCCGTGGAGAATATGTGAGTTGAATGAGCAAGGCAGATAGCGGAGAAATGTTGAAGTGAAGCAAAGGGGGAGCGGTGGGAGTTTGGGGTTTGGAGAGAGCCGTGCATGCAGGCAGAGAGGTGACTGTGAGGGAAGAGAGGTGTTTGTGAGAGCAGAGAGCGGGGCACACCTTGATGGCTTCATCTGAGCCCTCCACTTGCAGCAGCCTCTTCCTGTTGGCTCTCAGAATGGCCGCCACACAGAACACTGCAAGGTCCTCATCCCCCACCCGCGCCTCCCCCCACCGCGACATCCCCCTCCCCCCCGCCCCCTCCGCTCCCCCCACTCCCCCCATTGCCCCCCCCATGCTCCCCCCCTTGCGCCCAGACCGCTTCCCCAGCCCCAGGGCGAGCACCGGGGGGAGGGACGGGGGGATGGGGGGCATGGCGGGGAAGGGGGAGGGTTCGGGGTGGGTCGGGGGGAGGGAGGAGTGTGCGGAGTGTGAGGGGTGTGTGGGGGAGGAGTTGGGGGCGGTGGAGGGGGGTTGGAGAGGGGGCAGGCCGGCGGCTGGCGCGCGGTGCAGCGAGTGCACGTGCGGCACTGTGCCGGTGAATGCGCAGTTGATGCCGCAGCAGCAGCCCCACCACTGGCCGCACGAGCAGCAGTATGAACAGCAACAGCAGCAGCAGCAGCAGCAGCAGCAGCAGCAGCAGCAGCAGCAGCAGCAGCAGCAGCAATACCAGGCACAACACGACCAGCCACACCAACAGCAGCAGCAGCAGCAGCAGCAGCAATGGCAGCAAGAGCAGCATCAGTTTCAGTACCCGGTGCAACACGACCAACCACAGCAGCAGATGGCAGGCGCGGCAGCGGGAGGCTGGTCGCAGGCGAGGCAGCAGCAACAGTACGGCAGCGACCCCCTTCAGCCTCACCCGCACCAGCCGAGTCAGCCCGCTGTGCTGGGTGCATCACTGCACACAGCGGTGCGCGCCGCCGTGGCAGCCCCGCTTGCGGTGGCCCGTCTGAGGCGCGCGGATGCACAGCCGTCCGCGGACGACCTGCACGCCATGGCCGCGCATGCCGCCCACTGGGACCCCCCGCCGCCCGCGGCACAGCCTGCGCATGACGCTGTCCCTCTGGAGCTGCCGCTTTCCGCTCCCCCTGCCCTCACCTCCAACCTCGCCGGCCCCTTGGACCCTCTCCCCTTCACAACACTCGCCTTCTCTCAACCCAGCATTGCTCCCGTGCAGTTCACGCCCTCCTTCCCCCCGCTCCCCCCACTCCCCCCCCACTCCTCTCTCCCGCCTCTCACGGGCGGAGACACCCCCCTTGACCCAGCCGCCATGCCCGATTGGCTGCGCCGCCTGCAGCGCTGCCGCAGCAGCGTGGCCTGGCAGCTTTCGCAGGGGGAGGGGGATGGGGAGGGGGAGGGGCAGGGGCAGGCGCAGGGCGAGGGGGAGGGCGGGCCGAGGCGGATCCTGATTTCAGAGAACAGCTTTGGCGCGCTGGTGGTGACCAATGTGCTCACAGGCAGTGCAGGCGCGGGGGTGTGCGCGGGCAGTGGGAAGGAGGGCGCAGGTGAGAGTGGCGGAGCTGTGGTGGGAGGGGTGGCAGGCGGGAATGCGGCTGTGATGGCGGGGGGGGTTGGGGCAGAGATGGGAGGAGGGTGGGCGGGAGAGACAGTGGGGGAAAGTCAGGTGGGGGCAGGGGGGGCGAGGCAGGAGGAGCAGCAGGGGGAGAAGCAGGAGCAGGTGGTGTGGGGGGGGGAGGGTGGCGGGGTGGGTCGGGGGAGGGAGGCATCGTTTGATGCAGAACAGCTCTTCTCACTGCTGCACAGCCTGCCCGCTCTCGATTGCCCCATGCCTGAGTGATGCCACCCCATGGCCCAGTGACGCGGTGGAGTGGGAAGGGGGTGGGAGCGGGGTCAGTAAGAGGGAGGGAGGCATCGTTTGATGCAGAGCAGCTCTTCTCCCTGCTGCACAGCCTGCCCGCTCTCGACTGCTCCATGCCTGAGACTGAGTGACACCCCACCCCACGCCCAGGTGGCGCCCTTGTGGTGTGGGGAATCAGTAAGGTGTGGGGAGTGGCGCACCACAGCTTACAGACGCCACGTGCTTGCCTGTCCTCCCAGAGCGACTGTGTGGAGGTGGTGATGATGCAGCAGTGACGTGCACGCCAACTGGCAACAAGCCGAAGCACTGCCGTAATACCAAGCTGATGCTCTGTCCAACATGTCGGGCTTTACGCAAAAATCACTGATTGGTTGTTCTTGTACCATATTTTGTGGAAATAATGTTGATAATGTCAGCACGCGCAAGGTGTTTCAGAGTGGGTTGACATGTGTAAAGCATGCACCCCAGCGAGTGCCGTCATTTGAGGCGCCTCAAAAGTCACCCCAGCGAGTGCCGTCATTTGAGGCGCCTCAAAAGTCACCCCAGCGAGTGCCGTCATTTGAGGCGCCTCAAAAGTCACCCCAGCGAGTGCCGTCACCCACACTGCATCCCATCCCATCCATCACACAGCGCCCTGCTGTCAGAATACTGGGCTGAAAGAGCAAACGACATGCCAGAATCAATGCATATACATGCTTATTCTCACCATGCACTGATTGTGGTGAGTCGTGATGCTTGCAAGGGCGAGGATGCACTGGCTGTACTGTGGTGTGGTGGTCAGGCAGACGAGCAGCAGCGTGCATCACCCCCATCCCACACATGCAGCTCCAATGTATGCGCAGTCAAGCGAATGATCTCCCTCTAACTGCCCCCTGTCGCTTCCGCCCCTCGACCGTCACTGCTGTCCATATTGCCACCCATCACTGCCACCCACTCTCGCCCGTCACTGCCACGCATCCAGCAGCGGCAGCACGAGGTTGGCACGGGGCACCGCGCACTGCTGGCGGCGATTGCAGAGATCCATGGTACTGGTCCATGGCACGGCGCTGGACGAGCGCCACGCCCACCTCCTTCTGCTTCGCCCTCACTGCCCGCTGCCCATCACTTCCACCTGTCACCGGAACCCTTCACTGTCGTCCATCACTGCCACACGTCCAGCAGCGGCAGCATGCGGTTGGTGCGGTATACCTCCAACTGATACGTCCACTGTGTGGCGCTGGAACTGCCCCATGCCCACCACCTTCTGCATCTGCCGCACTGCCCTCTGCCCGCCACCAGCATCTGTCACTGCCACACATCCAGCAGCGGCAGCATGAGGTTGGTGCGATGCACCTCCAACTGCTGCCGCCCGTTATACACGTCCACTGTGTGGCGCTGGAACTGCCCCATGCCCACCTCCTTCTGCATCTGCCTCACTGCCCGCTGCCCCCCCTTGTGCGTGCCCCCCTGCCCCGCTGCTTCCATCCCCTGCCCCCGCTCCCATGCCATGTGCACCGCCTGCCAGGGGGTGGGGGCCGGGGGGGAGAGGGCATGGGGATGAGGGAGGGAGGGAGGGAATAGGGTGGGAAGGAAGAAAGGTGGGAGTGTGAGGAGAGGGGGGGTGAGAATGGAGGTTGGGTTTGAGGAGAGTAGTGGTAGATGGAGGCACAATGCAGGAGGGAGTGAGTGGGGGCGCAGGAGCAGCGAGGAGCTCAGCACAGCAACAGGGCAGCAGCAGCACAGCAGCTGCACATGGGCAGCAGAGCAGCAGAACAGCAGAACAGCAGAGCAGCAGAACAGCAGAGCAGCAGAACAGGAGAACAGGAGAACAGGAGAACAGGAGAACAGGAGAACAGGAGAACAGGAGAACAGGAGAACAGGAGAACAGGAGAACAGGAGAACAGGAGAACAGGAGAACAGGAGAACAGGAGAACAGGAGAACAGGAGAACAGGAGAACAGGAGAACAGGAGAACAGGAGAACAGGAGCACAGGAGCACAGGAGAACAGGAGAACAGGAGAACAGGAGAACAGGAGAACAGGAGAACAGGAGAACAGGAGAACAGGAGAACAGGAGAACAGGAGAACAGGAGAACAGGAGAACAGGAGAAGAGGAGAACAGGAGAACAGGAGAACAGGAGAACAGGAGCACAGGAGAACAGGAGAACAGGAGAACAGGAGAACAGGAGAACAGGAGAACAGGAGAACAGGAGAACAGGAGCACAGGAGCACAGGAGAACAGGAGAACAGGAGAACAGGAGCACAGGAGCACAGGAGCACAGGAGAACAGGAGAACAGGAGAACAGGAGAACAGGAGAACAGGAGAACAGGAGCACAGGAGAACAGGAGAACAGGAGAACAGGAGAACAGGAGAACAGGAGAACAGGAGAACAGGAGAACAGGAGACCAGGAGAACAGGAGCACAGGAGAGCAGGAGAACAGGAGAACAGGAGAACAGGAGCACAGGAGAACAGGAGCACAGGAGAACAGGAGAACAGGAGAACAGGAGAACAGGAGAACAGGAGCACAGGAGAACAGGAGAACAGGAGAACAGGAGAACAGGAGAACAGGAGAACAGGAGACAAGGAGAACAGGAGAACAGGAGAACAGGAGAACAGGAGAACAGGAGAACAGGAGAACAGGAGAACAGGAGAACAGGAGAACAGGAGAACAGGAGAACAGGAGAACAGGAGAACAGGAGAACAGGAGAACAGGAGAACAGGAGAACAGGAGACAGGAGAACAGGAGAACAGGAGAACAGGAGAACAGGAGAACAGGAGAACAGGAGAACAGGAGAACAGGAGAACAGGAGAACAGGAGAACAGGAGAACAGGAGAACAGGAGAACAGGAGAACAGGAGAACAGGAGAACAGGAGAACAGGAGAACAGGAGAACAGGAGAACAGGAGAACAGGAGAACAGGAGAACAGGAGAACAGGAGAACAGGAGCACAGGAGCACAGGAGAACAGGAGAACAGGAGAACAGGAGAACAGGAGAACAGGAGAACAGGAGAACAGGAGAACAGGAGAACAGGAGAACAGGAGCACAGGAGAACAGGAGAACAGGAGAACAGGAGAACAGGAGAACAGGAGAACAGGAGAACAGGAGAACAGGAGAACAGGAGAACAGGAGAACAGGAGAACAGGAGAACAGGAGAACAGGAGAACAGGAGAACAGGAGAACAGGAGAACAGGAGAACAGGAGAACAGGAGAACAGGAGAACAGGAGAACAGGAGAACAGGAGAACAGGAGAACAGGAGAACAGGAGCACAGGAGAACAGGAGAACAGGAGCACAGGAGAACAGGAGAACAGGAGAACAGGAGAACAGGAGAACAGGAGAACAGGAGAACAGGAGAACAGGAGAACAGGAGCACAGGAGAACAGGAGAACAGGAGAACAGGAGCACAGGAGCACAGGAGAACAGGAGAACAGGAGCACAGGAGAACAGGAGAACAGGAGAACAGGAGAACAGGAGCACAGGAGCACAGGAGAACAGGAGAACAGGAGAACAGGAGCACAGGAGCACAGGAGAACAGGAGAACAGGAGAACAGGAGAACAGGAGAACAGGAGAACAGGAGCACAGGAGAACAGGAGAACAGGAGAACAGGAGAACAGGAGAACAGGAGAACAGGAGAACAGGAGAACAGGAGAACAGGAGCACAGGAGAGCAGGAGAACAGGAGAACAGGAGAACAGGAGCACAGGAGAACAGGAGCACAGGAGAACAGGAGAACAGGAGAACAGGAGAACAGGAGAACAGGAGAACAGGAGAACAGGAGAACAGGAGAACCAGGAGACAGGGAAGAACAGGAGAACAGGAGAACAGGAGAACAGGAGAACAGGAGCACGGAGAACAGGAGAACAGGAGAACAGGAGAACAGGAGAACAGGAGAACAGGAGAACAGGAGAACAGGAGAACAGGAGAACAGGAGAACAGGAGAACAGGAGAACAGGAGAACAGGAGAACAGGAGCACAGGAGAACAGGAGAACAGGGAGAACAGGAGAACAGGAGAACAGGAGAACAGGAGAACAGGAGAACAGGAGAACAGGAGAACAGGAGAACAGGAGAACAGGAGAACAGGAGAACAGGAGAACAGGAGAACAGGAGAACAGGAGAACAGGAGAACAGGAGAACAGGAGAACAGGAGAACAGGAGAACAGGAGAACAGGAGAACAGGAGAAACAGGAGAACAGGAGAACAGGGAGAACAGGAGAACAGTGAGAACAGGAGAACAGGAGAACAGGAGAACAGGAGAAACAGGAGAACAGGAGAACAGGAGAACAGGAGAACAGGAGAACAGGAGAACAGGAGAACAGGAGAACAGGAGAACAGGAGAACAGGAGAACAGGAGCACAGGAGACAGGAGAACAGGAGAACAGGAGAACAGGAGAACAGGAGAACAGGAGAACAGGAGAACAGGAGAACAGGAGAACAGGAGAACAGGAGAACAGGAGAACAGGAGAACAGGAGAACAGGAGCACAGGAGAACAGGAGAACAGGAGCACAGGAGCACAGGAGCACAGGAGAACAGGAGAACAGGAGAACAGGAGAACAGGAGAACAGGAGAACAGGAGAACAGGAGAACAGGAGAACAGGAGAACAGGAGAACAGGAGAACAGGAGAACAGGAGAACAGGAGAACAGGAGAACAGGAGAACAGGAGAACAGGAGAACAGGAGCACAGGAGCACAGGAGAACAGGAGAACAGGAGAACAGGAGAACAGGAGAACAGGAGAACAGGAGAACAGGAGAACAGGAGAACAGGAGAACAGGAGAACAGGAGAACAGGAGAACAGGAGAAACAGGAGAACAGGAGAACAGGAGAACAGGAGAACAGGAGAACAGGAGAACAGGAGAACAGGAGAACAGGAGAACAGGAGAACAGGAGAACAGGAGAACAGGAGAACAGGAGAACAGGAGACAGGAGAACAGGAGAACAGGAGCACAGGAGAACAGGAGAACAGGAGAACAGGAGAACAGGAGAACAGGAGAACAGGAGAACAGGAGAACAGGAGAACAGGAGAACAGGAGATCAGGAGACAGGAGAACAGGAGAACAGGAGAACAGGAGAACAGGAGAACAGGAGAACAGGAGAACAGGAGAACAGGAGAACAGGAGAACAGGAGAACAGGAGCACAGGAGAGCAGGAGAACAGGAGAACAGGAGCACAGGAGAACAGGAGAACAGGAGAACAGGAGAACAGGAGAACAGGAGAACAGGAGAACAGGAGCACAGGAGAACAGGAGAACAGGAGAACAGGAGAACAGGAGAACAGGAGAACAGGAGCACAGGAGAACAGGAGAACAGGAGAACAGGAGAACAGGAGAACAGGAGCACAGGAGAACAGGAGAACAGGAGCACAGGGAGCACAGGAGCACAGGAGAACAGGAGAACAGGAGAACAGGAGAACAGGAGAACAGGAGAACAGGAGAACAGGAGAACAGGAGAACAGGAGAACAGGAGAACAGGAGAACAGGAGAACAGGAGAACAGGAGAACAGGAGAACAGGAGAACAGGAGAACAGGAGAACTGGAGAACAGGAGAACAGGAGAACAGGAGAACAGGAGAACAGGAGAACAGGAGAACAGGAGCACAGGAGAACAGGAGAACAGGAGAACAGGAGAACAGGAGAACAGGAGAACAGGAGAACAGGAGAACAGGAGAACAGGAGAACAGGAGAACAGGAGAACAGGAGAACAGGAGAACAGGAGAACAGGAGAACAGGAGAACAGGAGAACAGGAGAACAGGAGAACAGGAGAACAGGAGAACAGGAGAACAGGAGAACAGGAGAAAGGAGCACAGAGAACAGGAGAACAGGAGAACAGGAGAACAGGAGAACAGGAGTAACAGGAGAACAGGAGAACAGGAGAACAGGAGAACAGGAGAACAGGAGAACAGGAGAAACAGGAGAACAGGAGAACAGGAGAACAGGAGAACAGGAGAACAGGAGAACAGGAGAACAGGAGAACAGGAGAACAGGAGAACAGGAGAACTGGAGAACTGGAGAACAGGAGAACAGGAGAACAGGAGAACAGGAGAACAGGAGAACAGGAGAACAGGAGCACAGGAGAACAGGAGAACAGGAGAACAGGAGAACAGGAGAACAGGAGAACAGGAGAACAGGAGAACAGGAGAACAGGAGAACAGGAGAACAGGAGAACAGGAGAACAGGAGAACAGGAGAACAGGAGCACAGGAGAACAGGAGAACAGGAGAACAGGAGAACAGGAGAACAGGAGAACAGGAGAACAGGAGAACAGGAGAACAGGAGAACAGGAGCACAGGAGCAAAGGAGCACAGGAGCACAGGAGCACAGGAGCACAGGAGCACAGGAGCACAGGAGCACAGGAGCACAGGAGCACAGGAGAACAGGAGAACAGGAGCACAGGAGCACAGGAGCACAGGAGAACAGGAGAACAGGAGCACAGGAGCACAGGAGCACAGGAGCACAGGAGCACAGGAGCACAGGAGCACAGGAGCACAGGAGCACAGGAGCACAGGAGCACAGGAGCACAGGAGCACAGGAGCACAAGAGCACAGGAGAACAGGAGAACAGGAGCACAGGAGCACAGGAGCACAGG